TCCTACTCCAATAAGAAATATCCGGGGATGCCAGTCCGAATCGGATCGAGGTAAGGTAGATGACCGAGCTGTAGGGGATCGGAATGGTACTCTGGAAGGGCCTCCTCGTCTATGCCCTCTTTAACGGAGGAGTCGCAAGAGTCCTCAGGCCAGCTGGATGCCTTGTGTGAATACATCGAGGACGTGGTCATCTAGTGCATCATCCTAATTAGCATGCTTCCTATCCGGTGCTTGGGTTGGTGGGACTGTTGGTTCCCAACGACGACAGATCCTCGTTGGAATTGCTCTGTCTTGAATGCCTCGCCTCTCGCCATGGTTAGTGGTAGTAGGACATCTGTGCCTGTTGTTAATATCCCTGCTACACGGTTGCAGTCATAAGTCGAATCGCGAGTCTACCACTGCCAGCCCTCGGTCTAGTGTTGAGACGTAAGGAGCATAGTAGGGAGGTGTATAACGGGTTCGATCTCTCTCAGGTTCACCACTGAAGAGACCGGGGAGCCTATGCGACGTGGTCAGGTGCAGTGGAATGAGGGGCAGAGGAGCACGAATGCGGTCACTATTACTCTCGATCATCGTATGACGGACCGTGGCGGGAGAGGCCGTATAGAATCCTAATGGTTTCAGATAGCAAGTACCAAACCATCCACGGTTTTGGAGGGTCCTTCACCCAGGCAGCAGCGTATCTCTATAAAAATCTCGACAGATCGACTCAAGAGCAGTTCATGAAACTGTAAGGTTGCTCGGGTTGCTTATACTCATTACTACTATCGGTTTTCAGAGTTTTCTCTCCAGAGGGGTTACACTATAGTTTAGGCAGAGTACCCATCAACTCCTGCGACTTCTCTCCTGAAACGTAAGCGAATGAGATTATTAATTCTTGGTTTACTGGTAGCGCAAAATGGGGGTATGCAAAATGTCAGGTATAATTTTGATAACATTTCCGACGATTTCGACCTGACCGAATTCGACCGAGACCTCAAGATGGACGAGGAACTTGGAATGTTTGCCATGATCCACGATGCTCAATCACGAAC